ACTCACGGAGAAAGATAGCACACATAATATTTTTATGTTTCGGTGTATCTTCTCCGGTAGAAATCTCATGCGTTTTTTGAACAGTTGCTGGATAGTTAGATTAAATTCTATCTAATAGCTGAAGAATAAAACTCGCCTTTCGTCAACCTTTAATTTTATTTATGCCGTGTTTATTCTAATTTCCCGCTTAGTGTTAACTTTGCTAGCTCATGTGAATTTTCCTATATCTCCGAATTAGCGTCTTGCAAAGTTTGAAATGAGATTCGTAAGTCCTGCACGAAGTGTCCTCTGAAAGTAAGACCTGTGTGAAAGTCGATAAGGATAAATTACGCATGAATAGCGGGACAATTCCAGCGTCGCGGCTTCGTTAAATTTTAAATTTTCGAAGTGACTTCAGGGCGAAACGCTGATGAGTCAGGCTTATCAAAAGCGATTCGTGCTACCAGAGTTACGCAAAGAGCATCGTTACGCGGTCGAGGATGGCAAGGAGGCGAAGGGGGGGAGGGAAGACTACTAAATGTTCTCTGGAAGAATACACATTTGAGGCAACCTGCGTAATACGATAAGAGTAATGCGAATAAAGCAAATAAGAGTATTTTCTTTTATTTTATTATCTCTTTTCACGAGATGTGCGGTGAATCTTCTAATCCTCATTAAAAATTGGAGAAAAATCACCAAAACTGAACACAGACATGAAAAATTGACATGTTTCTCGACTATAATGTACCAAACTCTGTCGGACAATACATGAACTTCGTCTATTGCGTGCAGTAATTGAAGCTGAAGTGGCAGTTTGGATTTGCAAGCGCGTTCGATTGTGTTATGAACGTCATTTGATTTTTTGCTGTGCCGAAGTTCATTCTAAACCTTCGGCAAGGTTTCAGAGCCTGAAGACAAAATGGTATTGGTGCTTCTAAACAACTTTTACCTTTACAACTTTTGGCTGCCATAAATCGGGAAGCAGGAAACAAAACGTAACACTCGTATCAGCGGGACAGCGAACGCTTAAGGATAAGGAATATCTATCCACGTCTCGTCCGCGTTAATAACGAGAGAACAATATTCAGATAGAGACGTCGTCACGACGTTGAGAGGCACGAGGCTTCATTTATCTCGCCGGCAATTTGTAGAATCATGCTCATTTTTCTATTTTCGCGAGCGACGGGCGACGACGCTGTGAAAGCGGGCAGATAAACGAGAAAAAATTCCGCCACCGTTATTTGTACCGTGCAACAACGCGCGGGATGCGGAACCTCCGATACGGCCAGCCATTTCTCCACGCTTCCGACGTACCGACCGAACCGATAGCGCGGTCAACTGTATCTTCACGAATCCGAGTTCAGCTTTTTAAACTAATAATATTTACATATAACACAGGTACGAAAATAGCTTCCGATATCACGGTTTGATTAATTTTAGCGGCCAAACTACTGTTACGATTTTAATGAGAAACGAGGGGATGAAAAAGACTTGTAGAAATATTATGGAAATATTACAAAATCGTTTACCGTCTAGTTTTGCAAAAATTGATGCGTAAAGTATACAATTTCTGATAACGGTTGAGGTGCATGACAAACTTTAAAAAATTTGAAAAAATACGGAAAATCCAACGTCACGATCCTTTATCTACTGTGCATTCGTATGCTTCTATCTGGGGGGAGGGTATACATGATATTTTCACAAAATATACTTAGCGTAGAAAGGCAGTTCTAGCATAAAAATATTATACGTCGAAGAACGAAGAACGATTATTTTTTTATGAGCTTTTAAATATCACGTAAGTTTAGTAGATATTCTCTTGTTTTAGTGTCCAAGTACCATAAATCATGTTTATAAACATTTAGCGCAAATTTGTCGAGCTTTTTTCTTTATTATCGTGAACCAACTACTTAAATTTCTCAATGAAGGACGAATCGAGGAATCGTTTTCTCGCTCTCGCGTGCGCGCGGGATAATTCCAGTTAATGTTATTACCGCTCCATCTTATTTCGCGGCGCACCATTATTTCTCCTTTTATTTCCTGTGTACGCCGTGTACGCTTGAAACATCCACCGTGACGACGACGACGCGGACGACAGGTCGCTTTTCGTCACTGCGAAACTCTCGCAACGGAACCGGGCTAACTTCAGCAATCGCGACATTGACCTCTTTTCTCGGTAGGGTGGGGCGAATGCTGGCGCATCTTCCGCGGCAGCAATATTAATTTCCGTCCGTGCGCGTTTGTATTCCGCAGACATGTGAAATTGGCGAGAATAATGAGGTGGCTCGGTACGCAAACTCCCGCTAAAGTCGGTTTGAAAACCGGGGAATAAAGACCTGCCACTGGTGAGAAGCTCTCTCTTTCTCCCTTTTCTTCCTTTTTCCCGACAACCGACAAGTGGCTTACTTGCCACACGCGCTGACAGTTAAACCGAGAACGCGATACCCAAGTCCGGAATTAGATTGGCTGGTTTGCACAGTACAACGCGAATTGCGTTGATTAAACGCCCGAGTTTGTACAGTCGTTGGTTACAATTCGAATACTCGCGAATGCAATCCGTGTCGAGATCGGTTACACGAAAGTCCCAGAGATGATCCCTGAATAATTGCGCATTAATTATGCCGGCGGCTCGTGGAAGATATTAATTTACATCGAATACGTGCAAAAGTCATGTGATTAAATTGAGGGGGAAGGGCAGCGGGGATAGATAAACCGGACGGCGATGCTAACGAATGCACCGAATCCACAATTTGCGTGCACGAAACTGAAGCGCGAAATGTGCTACTACTACTACATGTTGTAACGATCGGCGTAGTTGTGAATTGCAAATACGTTCATTTAATATCGCCGCCCGGCTGAAAATTAATGCCGAATCTGCTCGTCGTCGTCGTTATCGCGACGATCACGACGGCGTTGTCCGATGATCCCTGCTCGACGGTATCTTCGCGTGTCGGTCGAGTTCTGTCGGACATATGTACATTTTTATTTATAAAAATATAGGTCTTAAAATGGTACTAATTTTTTTTCTATGCGCACGCACACACAGATGCATATTCATCGCGCGCCGGTGCTCCCGCATTGCGCATTGATTAATCGTGAAAAATAAAAGCTGCCCCTAAATCAGGCGAATCCCGATGAAGCCATCGGTCATATCGCTCGGCCGATAATTAAGGGAGCTTTGTATTTCCCAAAAACAGCGTTTGATAAGTGAGCGCGAATGCATTTCTATTTACGCGCGAACGCTCGTATGTCTCTTTCAAATTGAATTATTCGCAAAACAAATAGAATTTCAGCGTGAAAGAGACAGCAGAAGGAAACAAACAGACACGTTGTTTTCTGCGGGCTGTCGACCGGAGTGACGCGTCGCTTTTGCGCGCGATTAATTACAGCGCGACGAATAATCGGACGAGCCGCTAGATTAGTTCTTCAATCCGTCGCGGTCTGCAAATAGGTGACGGTGACAATAGTAACGGTATAACGACCCTGCGTACAAGAAAACCGGTTGAAGCGTGGGCGTCCCATCGGCCGTCCTTCGAGATCCTGGCTGATCGATACCGGAGGCGTCAGGACGACTGAGCCCCTATACGTACGAAAACACCGTTGTTTTTTCCGTCGCCATTACTATGTCATTTTGTTTGTTCTTGAAACGCAAAATATATTTCCTCGTAGACAAGTGTAATTTATAAGAATATTTTACTGTGTTGAATATCTTCTTCGAGAAAAATTTGTAAATCATTTTGGGCTTTCCAGGGGTGACGCAACCCCTTAATTGCAATCAGCAAGCGATCCAATGATGCATCGAAGACGTAAATGTCCGGTCGACAGAAGATCTCGCCGTATCCCAAAAGAGAATCATGATCCAAGAAAAAAGGCGCTTTATCTCGTGTGTCTCCGGCTAAAATGGCTTACCGTAACAACATCGCCGTACGTATTGGTAGTCACACTTTCTCACATCCGCATCCGGATTTCACGAGAAAGAGAGCGATTAGACGGGCAGGAGGAGGGGGGAAAATTAATTTCACTCGGCGCCCGCGCCGCCGGGTCGATCGCGAAATCGTTCGGCGAGATTTACGCTCGCGTTTTGCTCTCTAATCCAGGCGCGACTGGCGCCGTCGCCGAGGGTCGTTCGTCGATTTATCGTTCTGCTTTCATCACTGTAACGAGACCGAGTGGCTGAATAAACGCCTTTCTCGTCATCACCGCGGAGAAGAGTGCGAAAGCGAGCGTAGATGATAACGCGAATGATAATGCGCAAGACGTGATCAAGCGGAAGGATCAAATTCCAGGATGCGACAGCGTACCGAAAGATTCCCCTTTCCCGCTGAAAATCTCCCGGAAACCGGATTAAACGATCAACATGTTGAAATCGACGCTGAAGTTATTCCGGTAAACTCGACGAGAGTTGCGAGATTTCGCGCGATTACTTTCATCCCGCCCCCGCGATCGCCGTCGTTTTCGTCCTTCCTCGAAGGATTCCGTCGTCCCCATCGACTTTCCGCTGTCTATTCCCTCCTTACTTTTTCTCTCCGTTCTACCTTCGCATCTATGAAGAATGTCGGAGGAAACATATGCAGCTGATCGCTCCGATTACGAAGTTCGCTCGCTTCGACAGAAATAAGCTCCACCGGCTCACGTAACCGTTGCTGCGACGGATAAGATTCGGACAGATTGATGGACGAGAGGGAGGGAGGCGGTTCGCGTTAACAGCTTCTGCTAAGGACTGCCGCGGAAAAGCAGATGCTTCTGATTAGCATGCGTAATAACTGTTCATCGACGTTCCAGTTGGATGGACGCGGCTTCCGAGAAGCGCGAAGGATTAGAGCGAGTGCGGATCAGTCACGTTGTGTTACCTAATAAATTCGTGAAACAAGCGAACCTCCTCAAATAAAGGTATCCTTAGAAGGGAAAAATTATCCCACAGCTTTCCATCTGTTTCCCCGCATCCCGTCCCGATGAACGCGAGAAGAGATCGCTTTAAAACTGATAGTACTAATATTTGTTCGTCTTTTCTCTCTTCGCAGACGCTGTCATAGAGAACGACGGGCAACCTGAGTGCGACTGCAAGAGAAGACGCTTCTCCCATCTGCAAAGACTGGCAAAGGTCGGTAAACTGAGTTGTTGCTCATTTGTCGAGGACGACGTTCCGTCCACACCGTGGCAGCCGCCCGATCGCCGGGAGCACAAGCCATTCAACGGGATTTGCGTATTGCCGAACATGCCGGACGTGGACACTTTGATCCAAGAGTTCGAGGCGAGCTACGCGCCGTCGACGAGCGAGAAGAAGAATCGAGAGGACGTCGCGAAATCGAAGGGCATGTTCGTCAAGAGGATCATCGAGATCTACGAGATGAAGAACGGGGAAGCCGACCAGGAAGCGACCGTCGAGGACAAACGAAAGCCGAAGAAGAACCGGAGCGGTGGTCTCTTCTCGGCCGTCACCGGCATCCAGACGCCGAAGAAACCGGAAGAGAGGCGAGACGGCGCGGAAAAGCGCGAACTGGCTGACGCGACGGATCCGCCGAACTGCGATTCTCGCCGAGCTGGCGCGGGAGCCGCGCGGGAAAACGACAACGACGAAGAGGAGATCGATCGCGCCGAGGAGCCGTTAGAGTTGACCGTTGCGACTCCCGACCCCCGCGCTTCGTCTCTGAAGAGGGAGGAAGGAAAGACGAAAGAGAAAGGCAAGGGGAAAAGTTCGAGGAAGTTGCGGCGGCTGCTCGGCAAGTTCAGCAGGAGCGATTCGAGGCGCGCGACGAGAAGATGCCGACTGCCGTTCTCACGGCAGGACGATCTCTGGCACATAAAGAGGAAGGGACGAATCTTCTCCGGGTCCCCGGTAAACGTGCATCCTTCCGTAAGGGGAAGCGGCGAAGCGATTCGCGCGATTTCGCCGTGCGCCGCCGGAGGCGGCTCGCGCGACGTGCACGACGACGATAAGTCCCCGGCGATCGTAGAGTCGCAGGATGACTCCGGCAACAGCTACAAGAACCTACAGATCGAGATGTTCGACTTCGAGGAGGAGGGACGTTGGTCCGAGCCGCGGGAGGATATCGAGGATTTCGACGACTCGCTGAGCATTAGGAGCGTCGATCGATTCTTACCGAGTCTCGATCGGCGAAACAGCTTCGACGAGATAACTTGCCTCGTCAGCTCGTCCTCTTTTGAGGACGACACGAACGACTGCGAGAACACGGAAACGTCAGCCGTCGTCGACGAGTCCGCTGAGGACGCCGAGCACTCCGCTCAGCGATCGAAGCTGTACAAGAAATTGTCGGGGAGGAAGTCGTTGAAGAAGATGCTGTCGTTCTTCAAAACTAAGCGATACTTCGAGAAGAAGGCCAAGAACCCAGTCGACAAGGCGAAGTTCAACTGGCGGGACACGCAGCGGAAGTCGCAGTGCACGATGCTCAGCCCGGACTCGGGATTCGGCGAGCAATCCGCCAGTTCCCCCGGCACCTCTTTCCTCACCGCGGAAAAGTCGGCGAGCAACGTTCGCCACGAGGAGTCGCCGTTGACCTTCAGGACCTTCCGCCCGTCGCGAGACTCTCCTCCTCGCGACGGCGTCAGCAAGTGGAAGCGTCGTCCGGTGCTGAACGAACTGTCTCGCGAGAACTCCTCTTCCGTGGCTGGACAGACCTCCCGCCACGACCTCTTTCCTGCGAACTCGCCCCCGCGGATCCTCAAACATCCCTACGTGAAGGTCTTCGGGAACACCTACCTCTCGCTGACGAGGGTGGATGAGGTAGGCGAGCAGCTCGACGTGAGCGAACTGCGACACGAGTGCAGCACGTCGTGGGATTTCTCCCAAGATGGATGGGTATCGTCGTCTCCGTATCACGTCTGCGAGGAGCCAAGGTACGTTATATTAATCAGGGGTTAGGGTTGTTCGGCTAACTTTTTCGGATTCCTTCATCGCAGGTGGAGGTCGACACCCACGCTCGCCAGCTTCGCCAGGGAATCGTCCTTTCATGAACCGTTCATCCAGGGTAAGAAGCCGCGGATCAACAACGTCTGTCGACACGACGCGAGGAGAAAGCCGATTTTCAGCACTGGCTCCGTGTCAAGTATCAGCGGCTCGCCCTGCTTCGCCACCGTGAAGCCGAGGAATTGGAGATCTTACATGCGCCCGGAGAGATCGTCTGAGGAGGACGGTGGCATCAGAAGGCGCGCCTCCTTATGAGAGGCATCGGCGGGATCCTCGAAAGGGCCGATGAGTTCATAATAGCGCGTTCGAGCCGCGGTTTAATTAAACTTCGCCGTTCGGGCGCACCGCGCCGGAGATAGCCCACTAATGCCCGCTCGTAGTTAATTAACTCAGGTAGACAATTTAATTTGCTGGGAAAAATATAGTGCCGGGGCGGCGGCGATTAAATCAGCAAAACTAGCGAGTGCGTCGAACGCGAGCTCTCGGTGGAGCAACAATTGTAATATTAATTGTCTCATCGCGCGTGTACATAAAACGCGGCGTTTTTGTAATTAGTCAACCTGTCCATCGTGTATTAACGAGAGACCCGAGCGTCATTGACGCTAATTGCCTCGCCAATCTTGCTTCGCCTCGACGAAACGACGGTCGAAGCTCCCGCCTGAGCGATCGATGCTCTTCGCAGAATAATAATAACTTACTTGTGATCACCTGTGATAAAGGGCTGCGATTAAAGCCCGTGATATTAAAGATAGTCTGTGTATCGTGGATCGTATTCCTACGTTTAGGTTTACGAGAGACAACTGTAAGTGTGCGAGGTCCAACTACGTGTCGATATCATTCGTCCCCGCGAATCTCAGGACGCTGTTCCGTGCAATCCGGTATGATTTTTTTAATCCGGCAAATTCAAAGATACCGAAGTTGACGGTGGAATTTATCGACTGCCGCACGCGAGGCTAATTCTATTGCGGACGTTTGAACTTGCTTAAGAATTTTTGTATGATCTTTTCCCCCCTCGCTCTCTCCGGCGCGTGTTTGCGAAATGAAGAAGGATGCTGAAACGTCGTTTGCGAACGAGCTCTACTTACTTTCCTCGCTAAGAAAAAAAAAGACAACCGATAGCTTCCATCTCACGACGGATTAATAATATCGCAAAGAAAGAAATCTCGTCTTCGTTTCTCGCGAAATGACACACGAGGATTTGTCCGATTCGGTATACGTCTGTACACCCGACGAAGAAGTTTACAGCGAAGGCCGATATCAGTGTAAAGCTTATATGTATACTTAGTGTCTGACGAAGATGCACTTTTCGAGTCTCTCGTATTTCTCGCGGAAATATCGGAGGGGATCTCGTCGAATGGCGTCGAGAACGGAGCTTTATATTGGAGTAATTTTACAGCCCTTGACTCGTCGGAAGCTGTCGATATTGTAGCTTAAGCACTGAGCAAGTCGACGTTCAGTGATGCGGCGCGCCTGTAATTGACTACACACATTAAGGCACAATCATTTTGTTTTTCCTTCACGACGGTCTATTTAATGTGTGAATTATACATACTTTTACATACGAACTGGCGTTACATAAATATATATCTATACACGTACTTATATCACGCGAGCATACCATAATCACTTTCTTGTTTCTTTATTAACCCTTTGATGGCCAATATACATTTTACATAATTATGTAACATTTACTTCGGGTCCTCTTCAAATTTCGTCTGTCTGCCTGTCGGAAATCCTCTTATCCGCTTGTCTTCTCGTCGCTCCAGTCAGCCGGTGTTGCTAGCTGATGCATAAATATTTCTTTAAGCCTAGATCGTCCCGTGAACGCGCCGAACGTGAGAAACCACTGCAGCAGATCGCGATGTTTGATGTGTGAACGTTACGCTCGCCTCCGGAGCGAAACGCGAGCGGAAATTCGCTTATCTCCCATTCCAAACTGAATTACACGTCTCGAGGGCCGCAAATTTTCATAAAAATCCCGCTCTCTTCCGACAAATATTTCGATTGTGCGAGAAACCGCTAATGAAAACTTGAACTTTTCGCTTTCCCACGCGGGGCAAATATTTGCTCATGCCTGCCCTCTTTCTCAACAAATAACTGTATATCTCTTGACTCAACGACCGGAAACCCTCAAGGATGATTCTAATTTTCGCCAAAGGTTTCTTTCGCGAAAGAAACCGACTGTAAAAATCATAATAATAACAAGAATAGTGCCAAATAGTGCCGAACTAGCCGAGATAGCCGAACTGTAAATACACGTCTCGAAACTGTCACTAAGGTAATGCTCCGTATGTTCTTGCGTCTGATACAGTTGTGAACTTAACGCGAGGAACGAACGCATAGGCGACGATGATAACAACGTCGGCGAAAATGGAAATGTCGTCTGGCGTGCGAGGCGAAATCGGCGCGAATTTATGCGCGACGGCCTGATGTCAGGCGATTTGCATGAAATTCGGCCCTCCTCGGCGGCAGCCAACGATCGTTCGGTTATAGGCGAGTGTACATACGGACGGAGAGCAAGGACGAGACAGAGAAATAGAATTGGGAAGAGAGAGAAAGAGAAAAAGTGTGTTGCGTGTTTGTGGGCGAAACTCTCCGCCGGGTTGTTGTAATGCAGTGGAAATTGCAGGTAACGATGCGCCAGCGAACGTTATCGCCGCGCGCGCGCGGCCCAGAATTGCGATGTGGAATCTACCTTGGAGTACCTTGGAGTAGCAGCAACAGCAGCAGCAGTAACTACTCTTTTCGAGGAGAAGGAAAACGGCTCTCTCACTCTCGTCCTCGAGTTTCCGTCATGCGCGACGAGGCTTACCGCGAGAATCACGCTCGCTCCCTTAATCCTTCGACGACGTCCGCGTTTATCCTGCGGGATATCACGATTCGAGGATTTGGTTCAAGAGGCTAAAGCGGTCGTTCGTCGTAATTATCGATCTCCGATAATTATGGTTGGTGCGGTCGGCCGTCTCTCCGCCTTTTTTTTCCGTTTTTTTTTCTTTTTCTTAACACTTTCGCTGCGCTTAACCATAAGTGTGTGCTTTACTTTACGTGCGACGTTGAGGCGGAATGATACAGGTGATCCATTTTAATGGAAACTTTGTTCGATACGCACATTGAATGACAGATGGAATCGATCGCTGTGAACTTAGAGAAACCTTAAAGAAATTCATTGCACTTTGCAAATGCATCGATGCACCGATGTGCAACAATTAATATCATTAATCGATTTCTCTCTCATTATGTAGAAAAGTGTGTTAAGGTGATGTTATCGAAAGATGAATACTTTACGAAATATTTCGTATTTTATTGTACTGTAATAAAAAGTAAAGTATCTCGAAAAATATCCACTTTTCGATGTACTCATTACTTTTATACGCAAAATGAACGGAGGAATCGATTTGTGTCGAAAAATCTATATGAAAATTAACTAACCAAAAGAGTCAAGCAAGACGCGGTATATTTGCAGCGTCCGTAAATGACGAGTGATTTTACCAACGTCCGCCGAATCGAGGAGCTACTTTTCAGCGACACATTGTACGCGAAGCGAAGCGGTCAATAGAAATATCGCTCGTGTGTGTCACGCGAGGATAGAATAAATATTAATAACACGACGTGCGCTTTACAAAATTGACCTTTCGCGTTTGATCATTGTTCCCTTGAACGTTCGGGGCAAAGTCGCTTCTGACACATCGAAACGGGACGATAGTGACGCGAGTGTGTTGGCGCTTCCCCGCCTACGCTGGTGACGTAAGTACATCCAACGAAACTCGCCCACGTCCGAGGCCATTTTCTTCCTCGGTGGGATCCTTTTCTTTTGCGAACGAGTTTTCTAGCGTGCTTCTTCCATCTCAGAATCGGATCCATCCTGCCCGGCTGCGAAGATTTACTCGGTCGCCGCGGTGCTTTTTCCGCAAGATGTCAAAGTTCAGCGATAAGATCACACGAAGCGAGAGCGATTCAAAGGGGGGAGAATAGTAATCTGACACGCACCCTCCATTTACCGAATCTCCTGCGGAGAGTTTGCGGAGAGACAAAGAGAATTGCAGTCCGTTTTGCCTGGAGCCGAGTAAATTTGACGAGGAATTCGCGTCTCCGGACACGCTTGTGTCTCTCTTTTCGAGAAGCGGCTTTTAAGCTTTCTTAACGAACCGGAATAATGTCGGATACTTCATTCCGCTATAAATCTTGCCAGGATTTGGGATTCTGGTGATTCTCCCCGGATCCCACGACTCTGAGACCGGCATTATCGGGCAGGTGAGTTAACGAACTCGTTAAATCGAATTAACGGGGAAGCCCTGTGTGCCGTGAACCACTGCAAATTAATATAACGAGATCTGCTGGTAGCATATTGACGAAATCGCGCGATATTTGGACTTTAATACCGATTGACAGTGTCGCGCGTCGTAGAATTCCTCACGATGCAAGGCGACCGCTTTCGCCAGCTCTGTTCTCTCCCGTGAAAATTTATAGAGGAAAAGATAGTATTATGGTCCTCGTAGGTATTATAGCTTCTCTTAACCCTCCAGTGAACGCGCGCTATATATTTCACACCCTGGGCTTCCTTTCTCTACGATTTACGTGGAAACAAATTTTTTTCAGTGCCGTTCTTTTCACCAACTTTTTCTTTAATATTCTTTCTAACTTACTGAAGCTGGCAGCGAATTTTATTCGGCATTGTCTATCAACAATATAAATATTGATTATTGACGAAGTTATTGTACAAAATGTAAACGAGAGGCTATGATACCACCTTTTTTTCTATTCGATTAATTTTCAAAGGACGCGTAGAATAGCACCTCGAAATTCACGAGACACGGTTTCGCGAACGACCCTTCCGCACCAGAATTAGTTTCCGGAGAAAAAATTTCCACAGGTCGATCTATCAAATCAGAATTCATTTCCGGCGATAACACCGCTTCCATTATTCGACTCTTGATTAATTTCTGCCGTTCCGCCGCTATATCTGTACATGTCGCGCTAAATTCTTCTTTGAGACGTCGCGTGCAGCGACGTGTATCGGGAAGAATTCGCGTGCATCTGCTTGGGAGAGAATAGCGGCGCGCAAGCCGACGAAAGGAGCAATTTTCCGGAGCGATGGCGTGGAAAATAGATGCAATGCCGTCGCGGTAACACTGCCGACTGTCGACGGCGATTTTCACCGCTTCTCTCCCCCCCTCATTCCCGCCGCGACCAACGTTCGCGCATCGTAACGTCGTTCGCGAAGTCTCACCGTCGACACCGTTATTTTTCTCTCCTCTTTTTTCCTTGTTTCCTCTTTTTCCGAAAAACCACTGAAATTGGAAATCGCGCATTCCGCGAGAACAAGACGAAGTGGACGAGGTGTCCCAGGGGAGGAAGTTCCTTTACTTCTCATGTTCTTCCGCGGGAGAAACCCTTCCCTCCCACCTCACGTTTCTTCCTGTCCGACCAAAATCGTATGTTATCAACCGATTGCGTGTAAAAGCTAACGACTATCACATCGTCAACATGTGTTAAAGATAGATAGACGGATTAATAGGTGGAAGAAAAACGTTTATTAACTGTTTTAGGGCAAACTTCTTTAGAACGATATTCATAATCGAATCATACGTTAAGGTTG